TTACTTTTCCTATAGCCTGGAAATAAAGATAAACATTAGATTAAAAATTAGTTTGGTTTTGTTTGTTGAATTGAAACGTGATTTTATTTTTTATTAACTCATGTGCAAACAACGTTATTATAGGACATACTTTTTACTAATTTATTTGACTGAAAATTGGAAAAGTCCTCTAAGATGTAGTCGAAAGGATAAGTTATTTTTAATTAACGTTTGATTCTTACCTCCAACAATTTATCTCCCGTCAAACTCTGATTTAAATACTGGCAGACGACTCTCACTGGTTCTGGTGGTAGAGATGTGAGGAAGTCCGAGGCGAAGGGATAGTTCACCATGGCCAGTGAGGAGTACATGGACTGCAGGAACTCCATCAGCACTTGCAGATCAGTCGCATTCTTCACTGGGGTGCAGAGGTTGAATGCTTTGCGCAGTGCCTCCGACCCGTTGGTGGTTGAAGAGTACTGCCTGTAATGCAACGTAATTAAATAATTTAGTGCTATTACCTTTGTTTTTGTTCACACTTTTTAAACGCCTAAGATGTACTCATGTGCCGTGCCGTGAGTGCTTTTGCAAACACATTATACACGTAGGTATAGATACAATAGTAATTTATGGACACCAAAACGTATTCCGTGCAGCAATCGAAATAAATTGCATCGGTAGCAGACTTCATCAGGTACTAAGTAAGAATTTTGTTCTGCTTCATTATAGCGTCCAATCCAAGACCATAAATAAAAAACACAGACTAACCTAATAACACCCCACGACTGCTTGATATTTTTAGAGCAATGCGTATCGACTGTTCTGAAGCTGGAAGTCACAAGTCTGTTGAAGACTCCACAAGGAACCATTCCAGTAAACATGTGGACTGGAGCAGAGGCTGCGATGGCACCAGTCACGATATGAGGATATTTGATGCGGAAGTACGCTGCCAGCATACCACCGTACGACCCTGAAAATAAAAGAAAGGTAGATTCATCAGTCACGTCTGTATCTTAGGACAGGAAAAAACCCTTTGTTACCTTCATATTACGTACCTCCAAATGCAATAACAGGGTATCTAGGTTTGATGACATTTCCTTGGAGGTAGTTGATCAGGTCGGCATAGTCAGCCAGAGCCTGAGCTGACGATAGGTAACCAATGTGTTCATTGTCCAGTGACTTGTTGCCGAAAGGCATTGAAGCTCCATAATATCTGGAAATTAGGAATTAGTTACGTATACATCATTATAGAGAGGAATTACATGTAGGTTTGTAGAATAAAAGAAGAGATTCAGAACACGAAAGTTTTAAAATGAAATGATTGAATTAAAGGAACAATTGACCTGGCCATGATGACCACATCGGTTGACGTATCTTAGATTGGATACTAGGACGTAGATTAAATGAGACGAGAGACTAGATCTAGAGAATGTGGTCGATGTAAGGGTATCATTTTGACGACCCCCAACAAAAATCACCAGTAAGTTACAAACAGTAAAAATGAAATGTTCTCATGTATGTGACAAGCATTGGCGAACTGATGGATTTCAGGATTATACTAATATTGGATGGAAAACCCGTGGCCCACTCACCTATGCTCCGCAAACACTAGTTTTGCTTTGTACTCTCTTGCGATCTCCCACATGAAACCTGTGTGCTTTGCGAATACTTCTATTTGTCCCTGAAAATAATAAGTAATAACACTAGCTTAGAAATATTGATTACTATTTAATATCTGTTGCAAAGAAAGCTTCAGTCGTTTTAATGGCACCTATTATATTTATTTGTAGTTTTTGTTGTTGGGAAGTCCCCAGGGTACTTACAAGTAATACAAATACTTATACATGAAATTGTTCATTGTTCATTTTTTTTTATAATTAAGTATATTGTTTGTACAATAGGTAAGTACAACAAATTGTTATCTAGTGACTAACATAAATAACAGAAATAATGTTATTAAAACTGTATTTATGAATGTATTTAGTAGGTAAACGTATTTCATTTCAGTCTGTTTCTCTAACTATAACAGTTTAGCCGTTATATACCTACATAAAAACTTAGTTATAAGAGGTCGTTGAACTCGCTCACTGATCTTTGAGATCATTCTTCAAACGCGATTTTCTAGCAAGTGTGTCCACTTTGTTCTTTCAACACCTGGTCAAATTATTCGTACATGGGGGCAACGTAACGTGTCCTATTTTAGCGAAAATATAAGCATTAATAACTGGATTGATAAGCGAATATTCATTGCGATACGGTAACTATTGACATTATTAAATAACCCGGTGTCCGATAACGGTCTACTGGATGTAACCTATAAGAGGAATGTCGTTTACTACTGTGTAAAATAATATAAGTGCCATTTACAAATTAGCAGCTGTAGGTACGAAATTTCGTTTCATAAAACAAAATTATCAAAAGCAAAAAGAGAGAAAAATTTCATCTGACGGTTGTTAGCTTCAAGATATACAATAAATATCATATTTAAATAGAAAAATGGACAGAAACGTTCTTTGTGATGACATTGATGACACAAATACAATCGTTTTGCCGTTGGTGCACTCATATCGAACACAAATCATTTATTTTTCATTTATCAAAGTCGGTAGGCAGTTCGCTGGGTCAGTTAAACAAGTACCTACCTAAATACTTAAATAACATTGTACATATAATAATTAACATTGTGAAATAATACATTTTTTTTGAAACGAATTAATTCAGGTGTAAGGTAGATCGTCAATAAGTTTGCTAGTCAAAACAATAATAAAATATTGAAAAGTTAACAAGAAACAGTAACTGATACTTGTTTATTGTAAAGTAAATAATGTAAGAATTAGCACACTGCGGCTGTCAGTTAATATAACAGTCAATCGCTCGGTCGGTAAGTAGGTACTTAGAAGATAAGTGCAGTTATGTTAAAACTATTTATTTAGGAAGGCCATCAGAAATAGCTCACCTTGTTACGTAAAGAATAACTTTTCACATATTTTGCTACATTATTTATTGATTCTAATACATATAAATAGATATAATGCAGGTACTGAGTATCTCACCTCGTTCCCGGTGTAGAAAAAGATGGGTCCACTGCCTTGATCCCAGTTATCATCATTCACCAAATATTTCATTTCAAAAGTCTCATTCCTCTGAAAACCAAAATGGTCAAGTGGCACGCGAAACCATTTTGTTTCGAATTTGTATTCAGCTTGCACTATAACTAAGGACACTACGATGTATAAAATTGTTTGAAACATGTTGATTTACTTATAAGCACACGTCCATACTGTTTGGGTTTCAATATGATAATGAGTGATCTCGCTCGCCTACCCAGCGTTTACTAGCTTATACTGTTTTGTACAGTCGGGTACACAAGTCGTGCGCTTTTGTTTGCCTTTATTATTTCTCACATTATTTTAAATCTGTGTGAAACTTTATGAGATATTCAGATAAAATGAGAAATGTAGGTACTATTTAAATGTCTTATTTTTTGACCGTGTAATGTACATCCTGTTTGTAATTTCCGCTGTCGAACAACTGAAGATTGAACTGAGTGGCTATTGAAAGGCTTTTGTCTGGCAATGGACGGAAACGTAATAGGCCGATGATGATGGAAACAATCGACTCAATAAATGAATTTAATGCTTATTTGCATGAACAATCGACGAATCCCTCATCCTTGCTCGATTTCGAGTCGGCTTAGATAATAAGTAAACCGCATAATAAGATTTACTTAACACATAACACTATAACAATATACTGGCCACATAGATAATATATTTTTTTTATGGCATAATCCGGTAAACAAGCAGACGGATCATCTGATGGTAAGCAATCGGCGTCGCTCATGGACACCTGGATCACCAGAGGCGTCACTAGTGCGTTACCGGCCTTTTGGGGATTAGAAGTTTAAGGATCGTTGGGGATTCAGGGATTGGGGAGATTGGGGAAGGGGAGGGTAATTGGGCCTCCGGTAACCTCACTCACACAACGAAAGCGTTGCTTCACGTCGGTTTTCTGCGAGGCCGTGGTATCACTCCGGTCGAACCGGCCCATTCGTGCCGAAGCATGGCTCTCCCACACTTAATTAACTGAATTATATATTATTATTCTGAATTAACTAAAAATTATTATTGTTTCTAAAATAAATAATACTCACTGTTGTGCTCGATGAGCCCATATCGTTATGATGTGAGTTCATTTGACCCCTTGTCTCGGCAGCGGGCAGGATGTACCAGCTCACTGGCACATACCGCTGGGTGCATTCTAAGTACATCATTGTAACACATCCTTATCAAATTACGCTACTATAGACACAAAAATGGGATTAGTAAGACTTCATTATAAGTAAATATCATATAAATTAAATTGTTTTAAATAACATTTTAATGAAAATCGTCAAGAGTGAAGTTATATGTTGCCAATCAAATTATCAATAATACAATTGTAATATAATAATAAATAATTATGTAATATCTTTCACAGCTTCGTTACATTTTAATGTTTAAATAGTGAGAGGTCAGTGACATCCAAACTGATTGTGTAGATACATAATAACAAAAACAAATGACGTCGGTATCCAAACGTCAGTACCTATCTTGTGATTTATTAAAATGAGAGTACTGTTACTAGACCAACATTAGCTGATCGAGAAATGATACCGTCTACGATAAACGTACTGAAGTCAGTACTCAGCATACGCAGCTTGAACTGCTAAACGAGCCGTCCTTGAGTCACTTCCACTATACTTAAGTTATAACCAGTGCATCCGCCGTCCGGTGACTCATGCTATGACGTCATCTTCTAAGTGAAACGTCATCATTTCATTGTTATTCATCTCGCGAGGTTTGTAAATGTGCATATAAGCATTATATTCACACAGTAGTAATCAGGGACACTGACACATAAGCTAAAGGGCAATGCTTTATCTTTGTTCTGTTTATATGTAAACAGTAAAGTATTATAATTAGCTTTTTAAATCCTCAGATATTTAAGATTTACGTTATTTCAAAGTAAATTTTAGAATTATAGTTATCAGCTAAAGAAAAACCCAATGATGTATTGTTTTGATTTGAGTTTATTTAATACCGAAACTTGTTTTAATAAATAAATAAATATTAGATCTAGAACCTTCTATATTAAATAACTGAATGATTGTACAAATGTCGAAGGACTTATTCATAAATGTGGCCAAATGTTGTCATATAGTGACGATGATGGTGACTTTGTAATGAAATAGAAAATGTAGAATGATTAAGTACTTAATTATACATAAGTATAGACTGCAGATATACATGATCTCCGTTATTCCGATAGCTACCAAGTAATTTCATGTCACTTACAAACTTCAGTACCTACGCTACCTGGCCGCACAACTAGAGAAGCTAATATTGTATCAAATCTGTATCCTATTGCGTTTTATTTAAAGTCCTTTATGTTACTGGTAGTTTGTTGTAATTTCCTGGCGGATGGTCTACATCCACCAGTCCAATCATCTCCAGATTCTGCAGGTGTTATCCTTGGAGGCAGTGATGATTGCATCACCCTCGTAGGAGAACGCACACGAGAAGATCTCACCCTGGTGACCTGCCAGGACCTATGACCAAAATATAGAGAATTAAATAAATACAAATATCATCATCATCGTCGTCATCTGTTCATAGCTAAAAGACTTATAGTTTGGAAAACGTAGATATTAAAATATTTCATGTGTTGCTATAAAACATAAAGTAAATGAAAAATACACATTTCTCAGCACTATTTCATAGATACGTCCAGCGTCGTAATCAATTACTTTACCTGAATGCAGTTCCCAGTGGTAGTGTTCCATAACCGCGAGCTTCTATCTGCTGATGCAGTCAGAAGACAACCACCCGCCGGACTAAAGCAAACCTGTTAAATTAAGCTCTTTTATTAAAAAACAAGAATATTATTCTCGATCTACATGTGCTTATAACTTTGAAAGAATTTTCTTTGAATTCCTAACCGTCGAGGAGTTGCGCTTTCCATGTTCCTACTTTTCATACTCATCCACTTTTTACATGAAATATTAGTGCAAAGTTTACACCAATACAAAAAAATTAACGCCAAACACAGGCTACTGCTGTAAACCGCCCAAGAGTTCCCTCGAGTTCACGCGATTCCATTTTATTACTATGATTGTTTACACTAAATAACGAACCTTGGACACTTCGCCGCGGTGTCCCTTCATGACGGCGAGCTCCTTGAAGTCCGACTTGACATCATAGACCCTGGCGGAGCAGTCGCTGGAGGCTGTGGCCATTCGCTGACCAGCCCAATCGAAACATATGTCCAGCACCTAAAAATGAGGTTTAGTTTTTGCAGAGGTTTTGTTCTTGCTTACATCTGTGGTCATAAAGTTACGTGATATTTTCCAGGACAGCTTACCTCGTCAGTATGTCCAGACACGGTGGCCAGGCAGGAGCTCTGCCTTGCGTCCCACAGTTTGGCACTGCCATCCAGCGAGGAAGAGCCTACCAAAGAACTGTCCCAGTTGAACTGCACGTTGGATATCTCACCGTCATGCCCGCGGAGCACTGACACTCGCCTGTTTTAAGTTTTGAAATGTATACATATACATATTAACATCTGTTCTGTTTGCGACTATCCCACAGGCCACATTTAACTCGGTCCATGCTTATTTAAAATTTCATAAAACACATGTGTAAATAAGCGCTTCTAGATTTATTAGTTAGAATGTGAAATAATACAATGAAAAAACGGGACTGGCGTGACGTGACAACTGATTGACTGTATATCAATGTTACAAAATAATAGTCAGATTGAACACTAAATCAAATCACTTTAATGCATCTACATGCTTTTATCACTTGAATGCATCTATACTTACAGGGTGCTTTGTTATCAGATAGTACTTTTGTCGAACAAACAGACAGAAATAAACAGTTTTAAAATATTTAACTATTAGTGTTAATTTCAAAATGACGCAGGCGGCGACTCATAAAATGAAAAATCAAAATTAAAAGTGCTTGTGCATATTTTGTATAATTTACTTTTAATATAAAAACTTAGATTTTTTTTTATAATTAATTTCTAGGTTGTACTTATCCATCCATTGTATGGTTTTAATTAATGGTTGTGATACAATAAAATTTCCTAATATTTATTAAAACAAGATAATAAAACAGTAATAAAAACAAAGGCGCAAAAATCTTTGAATGAATCCCTATATCTTTAACCTGAGCTACATATACGTATACGTAGTCGGTAATAATGTTGCTTGTAGTTTTCAAGCAGGCGTAGGAAACAATATTTATTATCCTCATTTTAATTGCAAGTAATATATTAACCACAAACTACGAATTCGAGAAATATTTATCGAAATAGACATGGCTTAAGGTTGAAATTAAACTTACTCATCGACCCTGGTGTCCCATATGGATATGGTGCCGTCGAAGGAGCCTGTGATCAGCCGTTGTCCCTCGTTGGGATCGAACTGTAGAGCGATCACCTCGGCAGTGTGGCCGTTGTATGTGTGGATTTCAGCTCCTAAATAAATATATGTTTTTACTTTTTTTAAGGCAGACAAAATGCTTTTAATTGTACCTAAAAGTTCGCGAGCCAATCGAATGCTAAGCATTTTGATTTTAAGAAGTTAGTACCTATTAGCAGGTAAAGCAAAGAATCTAAAAATATACCGAATTAGTCTTTCGTCCTCAACTTATATCATTGATTGATGATCGAAAGTACGTGTTACATTTTTTATTGGATATGAAATACATATTTCCATTGCGCTGTTGAGGATCTTACGTCCAGCATTAACTGGTACAAATTAAAGACGGTGGTTAAAAAAATGACCTGTGTGGACATCAAAAAGTTTGGCAGTGTGGTCCATAGACCCGGTGGCAGCTAGATCTCCCTTGGCGCTAAACTGGCAGGCCACCACCTCGCCGCGATGACCCCATAGTGTCGCCAGGCATTCGGCTGTCTCTGGGTCCCAGATACGAGCCGATTTATCGAACGATCCAGTGAGTACGCGATTACTGAAAACGGTATAAAATATAAATGTGTACAGTACCTAGATGTACGTAATAGAATAATTTAAGCATCGATAAAACCCTAATCCTTGGGACCTTGGGACCTAATCCTAAATACTTTAGTAATGCTCTTGAAGAACTAACCATGCTGGGAAGTTGAAGCCGACGGTGTAGACGACATTCTGGTGTCCTGTCAGGGTCTGCAGGTCCTTGCCACTCTCCACATCCCACACCTTACAAGTGCGGTCGTAACTCCCGGAGAGACATCTGTACGATAGACCAAAGGTAAAAAATTATGACCTATCAAATTAGGTATGAAGTACTTACTACGTGTATTTAAACATTTTGATTTGAACGAGATTGAAGAGTTTAAAAAGAATAAATAATTTGTAGTTTTATAACTTAAGGGAAGGAAGAGAAAGATATCTCCAGCACCAGGGGCTCGAATATAATTTTGTACTTGTTATGCCTTTGACTGCCGACAGAAAACTGCTGAAGGCAAATCCTCCGCTAACGTAGGTCATCGGTGACCAACGTGGCGGTTAACGTGTTAAAACATAACATAACATCATGAATTTTATCCCCGAAGGGGTAGGCAGAGGCGCACATTACGGCACTTAATACCGCTGTACAATGTAACACCCACTTTTCACTATTTATGTTATGAGTCCCATGTAATAGGGGGTGAGCCTATTGCCATATACTGGACACATTTCCAGACTCCGTGCTACTTCTGAGATTTTTAAAAACCCAGTAATATTTTGCCCGACCCGGAATCGAACCTGAGGCCCTTGCTGGGCAATCACACTTGCGACCGCTTGTCCAATGAGGCAGTCAAATGACCTGTTAAAAATTTGAATTCTTTACCTGTTCCCAGTTTTATCAAAAGCGACGTTCGTCAGCGGCAGCACGTGGGTCATCAACGTCTTGTAGATGTAGAACCTCTTTCCTGTAGGACCTTCATGCTCCGTCCTCTTCTTCAACACCTCCAGGCATTGCTCCAACTGGTCGCGCACCTCCTCGGTGATCAGCGGCTCTTTCTGGTACAGGAGGAACGCCAACTCTTTGGTGTTTGTACTGAACAAGAAGAAGGATTTTGATTATCAATTACTAGAATTTGGTGAAGTATTTATACAATATGAGATTTATTGGAGAGTTTATAGATAAATAATTGTGCATTTATTTACTAAAAGGGCCGATAGAGAATTTTGAAAAAAGAAAATTTTCTAACATTAATGTGTTCTCGAAATTTCAATGACATCAAAGCTGGATTTGTAGATACAAGTACAAGATCAAGTTATTATAAAAAGGTACAAGTACTTTGCATAATTAATTTAATAAATTATAATCAAATTCCTTACTTGGCGTTTAAATCCAGTAAGTCGATTTCCTTACTTTTTACCATGCCCTTCTGCAGATATTCCAAGGTGATCCCTGGAGGATGGTATCTCAAGTGGAACCTTAATAACTTCATTGTTCTACCAGCTCTGAAGAAAACTCACAAAAACATTTTTTTACTGTACTATTTTATTCGGAGTAAAATTATTTCAAAAACTGTCTGATTTTGTCAATAGTTACTGTTGTTATGGCAACGGGAGTTGTTTGTTTTTATTGAAGTAACTGGAATTGAGGTAAGGAGGTCAAAGAAGGTCGTATTTTGAATTATGAGGAGACTGTGACGTGACTGACTGAATGCAGGATATTCTGATGATTCAAATTCCCAGAACGGGCAAACTATTGTCGAAATTGTTACTTCTTCTTCCAGGTGAGTACTTGTAGTGCGACCGACATAATATGAGGTATAACTTCTACTTATTAAAGCCGATCAATCAGTCAAAGAGATACAGGATAGCTCAAGGCACTATTTAAAGGTGGACGCACACTTATCCGCACCGAACGCTTGGGGATAAGTACAAAAAAACCTCGCACACTTCGAATTCGGATGATTCGATGCAGGGAAGTGTGCGAGGTTTCATGATATTTCATATACAGAGTTGTAAAATTCGTTTCGATCGACTCGAACGACACGTTCGGCTCAGATAAGTGTACGTTCGCCTTAAGGCTCGAGGGGCGAAAGTATTACCATTTTCGAGATGCTCGACTTTCTCTAGATTTTAATTTCCATACATAAAATCACACCTTCTATCTTCGAAGGGGTAGGCAGAAGTGAACATTTTAATTACTATCAGCACTTTTTAACTTACTCTCAAATGGAACCAGTGATCCTTGCACATTCTAGTGCCAATCGTGCACGTTTGCGACATATATGTATAGTACACATAATATTAATTATCGACACGTGACCGACCATTCACCACCATTGCTCAACTCCCGGCCATTCAGTCAGTTCCAGCGGTTTCAGGTGCAAACTTGTGAAATTCACACCATCCGGCCGGACGGTTGGTCAACATGTAATTACAGGGAAATTATATCGTTTCAGGAAGGGTGAGGAGTTTTGAAACTGTAACATTTAGGGTACTGGTAATCTTCCTTTTCGTAGGTATGTGTATTTAGTGCTCCATCAACCAAAAGTATCTTATTAGCTGCTTGTGGCGAAGCTATTATAGTAAGTTACGCTAGCGCTAGGCATGGCTGAAAGTTTCGGAATCTATTCGTCGTTTTCGTCTCCGAAAAACCTAAAAACAGATTGACTGAAACCCTTATTTCTAACTGTATAATACAGCCCCTGCTACTTGCTTTACGTTTATAAAATTAGATTGAAACGCACCATTGCGACAACTATTTAACTATTTGATTATCTGAATAATTAAAATAATTTTCTTTTTAACCTATGTTGGGACTTAATTCCCAACAGTGATAATGTTATGAAGATGTTGAATGTTATGTTGAATGAGTAGACAACAGATCGGTATAAAGGTTTAATAGCTACAAAATATAATCTGTTAAAATGTAATAATTTTTGCCTTAACTAAACTGCAACGTTTTATTGAAAGTGGGTTGATTAAGTAGCACATACGAGTACACTGTACAGCGTAGCTCGTACAATCTATCTACCAAACTCGTTGTAAAAATCCTTTTTGTCCAACAACGATTTGGAAATCATCTCGAAATAGCTCTAGAGAGAGCAGTGCGGGTATATTAGCCGGGCATGGAGTCGGGAACAAAAGATAGGTGTCCCATATACCAGGGTACACAAAGGTATGAAAAGCCAGCGAGATGCATAGATGAACTGCTTTCATACTGCGGCACATATTTGTCTAGCATTCGAGAACATTCGCTGTGACGTGAGGCTTTTCGTTTAGGGTTAAGGTTGACTGTGTGTCTTTATTCAAAGCTGGCGAACTAGTTGATGTGGTCGGTCATGTTAAGACGTAAAATATGTAAGTTTTCTTAGATATACTTAAGGGCTATGAGAAAGTATCCTTAGGTACATTTCCTCAATTCGCTAACGTCAAGCATCTGCAACGGCAATGGCAAAGGCTAGATCTGTTGATGATGAAGGAAATGTAACTGCAACAGAAGCAGTAGGTAATCTATACCTAGTCGGTATCTAATTTAAGGAAAATCAAAAAACTAAACAAATCGCGGGTTACTCACGTGAATATACTGAGAAAAGCTCTACTAGTTTCGAACCACAGACGGGTTCTTCCTCATGAGCAGCGGAAAAACAACGAAAAAACTGAATAATTTACATTGTTTATGTATTTGACACAACATTGTAACTATTAACTTTGGAGATCGTACAAAGTCCGTAAGGTCAGGTAGTGAATTACTGTCTAATATATATCTATTGTCTTACGGATTACCTACTGAACGTTAAACAGTTACTTCTCACAGTAACCAGTTACTGCATTCGTAAAAATAAAACTTAAAAGAAAAGAATCGTCTATTACACGATTAATAAAACACTGCTCGAGTACCGACGTGAAGGCTTTCAATTCTCAGACTATCACATTGTTGAGCAATTTTCGGTGGTAGACGAGACAACCTGTTTTGCACGACTCGAGCTCAGAACCGGATCCCAAGCGATGAGAACATCTTGACAACTGATGATGATGCATTGGCCTTTTATAAACTTTTTTTTACGAATTTTAGTCGGTAGGCTTATATGGAGGTAAGCGTTTTGTGTTGCGGCGTAATTAATGTTGTAATTATTTTAATCTTACGGCTATTACTTATAAATATGAAAGTCTTTAATCGACTTGAGTTCGACTCAACACCGGTCAAAGAAATCACCGGGTAGGCAGTAATAATTCTAATAACATGAATAATAATATAAGAATGTAGATCTTAGAGTTAGGTAGAACCATTTATCGGTCTTAGTCGTTAGCTATTCCAAAAACCTAAGTTCGAAAGTGGAGCGACGAGTTGATAAGTTGATTGTTGGGATAGTCTTCTATAAAGTGGACTGTGTGCTTATTACCAGTAGGTAATATATAGGTAGGTATGTTATAGGTAATTAGAAAAAGAAAGTTTACAATAAAGTAATGTAAGTTTACTACTATCGGGGAAAAGCTGAAGTTAAATGAAACGGCCTCACAGAAAACCTATGTGAAACAAGGCATGCGTTGTGTTTCGTCGTGTGAGTGAGGTTACCGGAGGCCCAATTACCCCAACCCCAGACTCTTCCAATCCTCGAATCCCCCACAATCCTCAAATTACCCAATTCTCAAAAGGCTGGTAACGCACTTGTAACGCCTTTGGTGTTTCAGGTGTCCATGGGCGGTGCTGATCGCTTACCATCAGAATTTTAGAGATCTAACTTCTTTCCTACCTATGCTTCCTTTCATCTCTATCACTTCAGAAACACTTTTTAGTAGAGTCGTTATAAATAACCGCATTATATACAGGCACACAGTCTTAAATTAAATCTATTAAATCTATTTGTTATTTTCTTAGTTTCATGTATATCACAAAACATTGATGGAAAATATTTCATAGTCGATAAAGTTATATAAAAACAGCAACTGAGTAACTTTGCAATCGTAAAAAACAGATTGCTTAATAGATGTTATTAGCTTGACTCTGCAATTATTAGCTATAAACTATGGTATATTTTATAGCATTTATTCCAGTGGTCGTTAGCTCAACCATATCACAAAAATATTTTTTAAACATGTAAGTTCTGTCAAGCTTGGTCGCACAGAATTAATTAAATTCACTATCATTCTATTTTTGACCAGTGGACCATAGCACCCAACTGGTCATAATTTTCTCTATGGCAACCCCACGGGTGTTGTCTGGTCAGCTTGTCTAGCAGGTTGTTGGGTCCTTGACCGCTGGACTAGGCTTGGGAAACAAACATCTAAAGTAAAGTTATTGTTTGGGGTAATTTTACGACTTTCGTGGGTAATTTTCAAAGAGCTTTTGTTGGATCCTACGATAATACTTAATTAAATCAAACGCTTGGAATTTTATACTTCCTTGTCTTGTCTTTTTACTGTTGGCATGATTAAGTATTTGTAGTTCTGCGTGCTCGGATTTAATTCCTATGTGATTACTTTGTTTTAATAGTCATTATTTAACTATGTTAATAGTCACATGTACAAGTATCTACTTGTATTCAAGTATCTAATCTACGTCGTTTATGTAGGTAAACTTACAATAAATATTTTTCTAGGAATGTTATTCTTATTAGGTAGAATAATTATAAATGTAGTTATACCTACTACGTATTTTCCAAGTCGTTTTATTTCATAGCTTATAGAGATTAATTAACTAAACTACAACAATCAGTGCAAACATAGGAAATGTTAATTGGTTAGATTACGATAACTTGTAAAATTGTGGGGAAGTTTGCAAGCCGGATTCTGGCAACACAGCATTGCGCGCGCAGTCTACCGTGCGCCAGGTGAGTGCGCGCACGTCACGAACGCTTCCAAATTCAAAATTCGAATCGCGAATCCCGCGCGCGATAACTTTTACTTTCCTTTTTTTAATATTACGTCACAGTCGTGTTACGTTTAGTAATCGCCGGTCGTTCTGACGCAAGTGATTCTAGTGCAAGTGAAGTGATCCTTACAAGTTTGTGATTGTTCTAAAATGGGATTGTGATTGGTCAATCAAGGAGCAAAGGAAAATATTGTAAGTGCGGTGAGCTTTAGTAGAAAAGCTCATTACAAGATGATGTTATTTTTTTAAGTTGTTTCATTTTACTTACTTAATATTTTTTGCTTCTGAAAATAGACATTATAAAATATCTACTTACTAAGTATAACTAAAATAGCAATCCCATAATGTTAACTTCCCTTCAATATATGGCTCACTTAGGAGAACCTTTATAATTGTTACGTTGTAATAATATGTTTTAGTACCTACAATATTTTGTTTGTAACGATATAGTTAGGTAGGCACCTCTTGAAGTATTAAAGAGTATCTGATTTATTATGACGTCATTATTTATGCGATTCTATTGATCTGATAGAAAAGGCATATTTTTCTTTTGTTTCTTAGTTCAAATTGAGTAGGTAATTTATGAAATTACCACCACTGTCATCTTTACTTAAAATATTTGAATACAATGTTTATTTTGTTACCTTTCCATATTTGAAAGTCTTCTTAATTATGATTCTTATTTACTTGTTTTAAGGTCCCTATTTATTTATCTTCTCAACACCTGTTTTTCAAAGAACTAGTTTAAACGATATCGTTGCTCATAAAGACAACAGCGTGTCAACATGCGTCAACATTTTTTATTTCATTTCCAACTTAATTGTTTTGTAATAAGGTCAAATATTGACTGAAAAGGGGTTATGTACTATCTATTTAACATTGTGTATAACAAGTTATGTTTAGTACCTACAAATGTTATCACATATCGCTTTTATTTACATTTACTAAAGCTGTGTGTAACTGTTTAATTATGCGAGGTGTGGATCAAGGTGTACCAGAACACGTACTTACTAAACTTGGCAAATAATATCGCTAACCGATTTTATAACTTGTTCAACGAGCTATTTGATTCAGTTTTGTTTGTTACTGTAAACGTTTTTTTAATTGTTTCTGCTTCTGTATGTGTTGCGTAAAAGTTCCTTCAGGTGTTCTTTTATAAAATCCTTACTATCCTTATCCTTACTAATATTATAAATCGGAAAGTGAGTTTGTTTGTTTGTTTGTTTGTTCTGCTTTCACGCCGTAACTACTAAACCGTTTGCTTTGATTTTTTGCAGGCGTAAAGTTAGAAGTCTATATTAAATAATAGGGTAAAAATTGATATTTCCGAGGAAAAACAAAAGTATTGGTATAGGTAGATGGCGCTGTGTGTATTTGTATATGTCACATAGGCTACTTTTTATCCTTTTGTGACGCGAGCGAAGCCGCGGGTAAAAGCTAGTAAATTTTTATATTGCATCTTTGCCAGGATCTAATCACCAATATTTTCAGCCACTTTTTGAAACGTTAAGTTACCTGATCAAACTCAACATCTCTTGTTCAGAAGCGATGATCCATTTTAATTTAGAAAATAAAGTCAATAAATACAACAATACCAAACTTTTTAAAATTGCAACTCTTGTGAGACATACGAAATTTTAATAATTATAATGTTTACTCGCTAACTAACGTAACTGTTTAAATATGAGCTCCGAGCGTGGCTTGAAACTAGTCTAGTTCCTCGTCATACAGAACTTTAAGTTGTGCTTAAATATCGCGCTATCTCTGTTATTTAATAAAGAATTTGTTAAAATATCTTTAATTAAGAGTGTCTCCAAATTAAGGAGCGTTTGAGTATTTGAACATAACATAACATCAAACCTTTTATCCCCGAAGGGATAGGCACAGGTATACATTACGGCACTTAATGCCACTATACGATGTAACACCCACTTTTCACTATTTATGTTATGAGTTCCATGTAAGCCTATTGCCATTTACCAGGCACAACTCCAGACTCCGTGCTATTACTGAGATTTTAAAAAAAAACCCAGTAGTATTTTGTCCGATCCGGGAATCGAACCCGAGACCCCTTGCCCGGAAGTCACACTTGCGACCACTCGGCCAACGAGGCAGTCGATTATTGGAACATGAGGCAGTAAATATAATAATTAACAATAAACTTAATTATTTTCCTAAGAATCGTTATTAGTTTTTTTTTCTCTGTATGTAAAAGGAAGTTGTAAACGATATGAATTCAAATTGAAAAGAAAAGGAAAGTTATAAGCAACAACATGTCGACATGCATAATAAAATGGTAACTTTAACATACGTTCATAAATAAACAAGCGACATTTAAGTTGGCCTCTTAAGTAGACTGTCATAAGTGCTTTATGTAACTTGACACAGAAAAGTATTGTTAATACACATAACATCACGCCTTTTATCCCCGAACGGATAGGCAGAGGTGCACATTATGCCACTGTACAATGTAACACCCACTTTTCACTATTTATGTTATGAGTCCCATGTAATAGGGGGTGAGCCTATTGCCATAATACCGGGCACAATTCCAGACTCCGTGCTACTACTGAGTATTTTTTTAAAAACCCAGTAATATTTTGCCCGACCCGGGAATTGAACCCGAGACCCCTTGCCCGGTAGTCGAACTTGCGACCACTCGGCCAACGAGGCAGTCAAGTATTGTTAATAATGTGCAATATTACAGTATGCAATTATTTGCAAGCTGCAACCTTCATTTGCCATTCGAATCCACGTTGTTTTTGTATTTATAGCTGTTTATTTCATGTCGCCTCTTCTTCAACAATATATTGTTTTCAATCATGACAATTCAAGGACAAGCGGTGTTCGTTCCCACAAGTGTCCTATTGCAATTTCATGTTATTTACGATATGATACATTTTTTATTAGTTTCAATTCAATTAAACATGATAGTAAGGTTAAGCCTTTCTTTTCATTGTCCCAATTCCAAGAATTAATTCATGTTTACCTACTAAGTTAATTTTATTGTATACTAGCGACCCGACCCGGCTTCACACGGGTGCAATTAGAAACCTCTAAATTTATTAGTGTTTCTCTACTATATCATGCATGTATTATACATATAAACCTTCCTGAAGAATCACTCAATCTATTAAAAAAAACCGCATCAAAATCCGTTGCGTAGTTTTAAAAATCTTTGAAGCTTTGGATTAATTCATTACAACTGCTTCGAGGACACTTTTAGGTCACATGACTTACAGGAAGACAATTTTTTGGGGCAACCGAAGAAGTATGTCTGGATCTTTATGGTATTGCTCTACTTTTCTCACCTAATCGATCGAACATCACGATTTTTATAACCGAAGAGGTAAGCACAGGTGTTAATAACGGCGCTTAAGGTCACTGTACAATATAACACCCACTTTTCATTATTTATGTTATGATTCTCATGTAATATGGGATGAGTTTATTGCCATATACCGAGCAAAGTTCCAGACTCCGTGCTACTACTGAGAGTTTTTAGAAAATCCATTAATACACTGCCCGACCCTTTGCCCTTGCCCGGCAGTCGCGCTTACGACCACTCGGTCAACGAGGCAGTTTTATCCCTATCGATCTGGATAATAATATCTTCTTTGGTGATTATGACTCCCTCTCTTTCTCTTCTCTCATCTCAATTTAATTACACAAAAGTTATACTATCTTAACCTTTAACTACTGACGTGGGTGTCTCATAGACGGCGTGTTCACGAATATAAGAATTTTCCAAAAAAACGTCCAAATAATTGTATTGTAGCTAAGATTGTAACATATATTTTTTTAAGTTATACGAAATATTTATATTTTAAGTTTATAGAATTTGAATCAGAAACCGCTGATTTCATCCGAGAACGTTGTATTTTTTGCACTTCCTTAATAGAATTATAATGGACCGATCAGAATACAAGTAAATATTGTGCAAATCAGTAAATAAAAGTAATCCATTTCGATTAATTATTAAGGTGTTTGACATACGTCACGTCACCGTTTATGGTATGAGTAAACCACGTCAGGACTTGAAGGTTAAGAACACTTACTATATCAACTTAAATGTCAGTAATCTGACACTAGTTCACGAATCACGACTAATTTCTTAGAATACTTGTCTCACGACTTTAGTTAGAACGTGATGTTTAAAATAAATAACAGCATTCATATTACTGTTAGAAATTATGTCTCAATTAGTACCTGCATATAATATTATGTGTTCATTATTTATTTCTTTGTTCTTATCTACAATTTAGGATGTGTCTTGTTTTTGCTCGCCATTTTTCTGTTTATAATCTAACAACTAGCTTTTCCCTGCGACTTCGTTCGCGTGGAATAGTGACTTCCGGCAGATTTTTGGTTTTACTTACATAGTTCCTGATCTCTCGAGATTTTTGAGAAGATCCCGGTCCTATGTCCTTTCTCAAGTTCCAAACTAAGTCTGTACCAAATTTCACACAAATCGGGTCAGTAGTTTAGGTGTAAAAAGACAGACAGAGTTACTTTCCCATTTATATTATTAGTTCGGAATAATTATTTAAAGAGAGAATTAGAATTATTATAATTTTTCCGAGTTTCAAGATTATATTTGTACAGTTGTAGTTTCTCAAGGTTACCATGGGGACTTAATAGTTGAAATACTTATATGAATCATACATATAGTACGTAAACCTCACGCCGGTTTGCCATGGGGCATTAAGTAGACTATGGTACGTCATATTAATACATGTGGAATGTTGGGAGTTTGTGTGTATGTTCTATGTTTGTTCCTCAATCACGTCAAAATGGCTGAAAGGAATCGGGATAAAATTTGAATCAGAGATAGTCTACAATAATAAATAGGCCACGGGAACCCGTGCGAACGCACTCGCAGAAGTAATTTATAATCGACTAGCTACTTCCGCGCAGTTTCAAACGCTCTACTCAGTTCCTATTGGTTGTAGCGTGATGTTTTATAGGCTATAGCCATCATCGATAAATGCGCTAACCAACACAAAAAGAATTATTCAAATCAGACTTGTAGTTACAGAGATTAGCGCGTTCAAACAAACAAACAAAAAAACAAACTCTTCCGCTTTATATGTATAATAGTATTTAAGATACTGGCAAACTGTTCGACCACCATGTTTAGACTAACGATTATTAATAATATTAAATAGGTATACTAAACAAGAGTTTTATTGACTCATTAA